CAGGGCACATGCTGCCAACCACGGGGTTTTTAGTTTTTCCAGGTTTTGTTCATGTAACAAGATGTAACTTTGTAGAAATGGCCACCAGATGTGAGGAGAAACTCAGAGGCAAGGCCCAGTCCCTTCCCACACCCAGGCATTAAACTACCCCCTCCCCAAACACACACACACACACACACACAGCAGGTGTCCCCAAGCACCTGGGCAGTGCTGCCTTGGCCTCTGCAAGCTCTAATCACAGCGCCCACCCACTGGCTGCCTCTCCACCCCACAGGCCATGGCCTCCGAGCTGCAGGCCCAGAAGTCCCTCCTCAGTGAGGTGGAGCAGAACCTGCAGGCTGCCAAGCAGTGCTCCAGCTCCCTGGCCAGCCGCTTCCAGGAACACTGCCCTGACCTGGAGCGCCAGGAGGCCGAGGTGCACAAGCTGGGCCAGCGCTTCGACAACCTCCGCCAGCAGGCTGAGCTCAGGTGAGGGGCCCGGGGGGCCTGGCTGAGCTAGTCTGCCTTGAGGCCAAGATGCTCAACCGACACCACCAAAGGCTGTTTTCTAAATAATTTCTGCTTTTTGAAAAAGTAATATATATACAAAGTAAAACACTCAAAGTAATTATGACCCTTTGTATGCCATAAGCGTCTATAGACATAAGGATGGTTTCCATTTTGGATGCGTGGCAGTTAACTGGTTAATGACCAGCCCCACTTTCCCAAGGTAAACACTGCTATCAGTTTCTTATGAACCCTTCCAAAAAGGTGTTCTGTACAAGCTGGGGTAAGGGGTAAACACATGAATGACAACATATCATGTATGCTGTATCTTGCTGTTTTTCCTGTCATATATTTTATAAGCCTCATGAGTCAGTTAAGTATTCCCTTCTCCTCTTCTGTGTTCTGGATGAGTTTGTACAGAACTGATATTACTTCCTTAAATGCTTGGTAGAATTCTCCAGTGAGGCTGTCTGGGCCTGCATTTTTTATGAGAAGGATTTTAACTACAAATTCAACCTCTTTAAATATTTGGTAAGGAGAGGGAGAGAGAGAAAGAGAAACATCAATCAGCTGCCTCCTGCAGGCACCTTGAATGGGGATTGAACCTGAAACCTGGGTATGTGCCCTGATTGGGAAGCAAACCGGTGACCTTTCAGTACACAGGACCATGTTCAACCAACTGAGCCACACTGGCCGGGGCTCATCTCACTCTTGAGTAGTTTGTGTCTTTCAAGGAATTTATCCATTTCATCAAGTTGGTAAACTTATTGGCATAAAATTTTTCATGATATTCTCTAATCACTGCCTGCAGGTTCTGAGTCTATTTCCCCTCTCATTCCTGATGTTAAATCTTCTTTCATTGTATATGTACATTCTCTTTTATCAATTTATTGACCATTTTAAAGAACTAGCTATGGTTTCAATGATTTTTCCTGTTTTCTTGTTTCCGGTTGCATTGATATCTGCTTTTTATTATTTCCTTATTGCTGCTTAATTTAATTTGCTCTTTTTATTTCTTAAGGTGGAAGCTTAGATTGTTGATTTGAGAGCATTCTTTTCTAATACAAACATTTAATCCCATACTTTTCCCTCTCAGTTTTTGCTGTGTCCCACACATTTTGGTATGTTTTTATTGAGGTCCTGTAGCACACAGTATCTCTGCATGTCAGTACATGTGGACCTACCTACCTGTTCTTCACAGAGGCCAGGGAGGACTCCAACTTAACATTCCATAATTTGCTTAACTATTCCCTTTCTAGTGAACATTAAATTACATTTGTATTCCAGTTAAATTACATTCATCCCCCACCCCCCTAAATACACACATTTTAAAAAATGAAAACACACACAAAGAATACAGATTACTCCTTTAAAAGGGACAGGAGAAACTTTTTTTTTTTTTAAAGAGGAAGGGAAAGTGAGATAGAAACATCAATGAGAGAGAAACATTGATCAGCTGCCTCCTGTACACCCCTCACCAGGGGTCGAGCCCACATCCCGGGCATGTGCCCTGACCAGGAATCGAACCATAACCTCTTGGTGCATGGGCCACATAAGCTCAACCACTGAGCTACAGCGGCTGGGCAGGGACAGGGTAAGGTTTTAGTGAGACATCTTCTCGCTGTGCCAGAGGCCTGACCAGTTTTGCTCCTGCAGGGCCCAGAGCCTGCGGAGTGCCAAGGCTGCCTATGATGACTACCGCAGTTGCTGCGACCACATGCTCCAGTTCTTGTCCAACATCCCCAGCTATGAGCCCCAGGAGACAGACAGCCTTAACCAGATGGAGACCAAGCTGAAGAATCAGAAAGTAAGACAACTGCTTCTGCATTCACAGGCACAGTCACAAGGTGGGGTCAGAGGTCAGTCATTCCCCTTTGTGGAGAGCCAGGAGTGGCTGCCGTTTGCTCTGGCAGAGCTGTGATCTCACGGGACCTTGGCCCTGCCTGGCTCCCAGCACTTAACTCTGAGAACAAGGACAGTCTTGCTCACTTCCCCCTCCTCAGTACCCAGCATGGGTCCTGGCCCAGAGTGGACACTCAGTGCAGGCTGGCTGAGTGAGTGAATGGCTACGAAAATACAAGAGGCCCCCGCATGGGGAAAAATCCCATTTTCAAAGTTCAGAGTCCTGGGTCCTCAGAAGGCAACAATGACAACAGGGTGAGGGAGGAGGAACATGGGAACCCAAATGCCAGTTCACTATTAGCTGTGCCCCTCAGGCAAGCCACTGAACCTCACTGTGCCTCGGTTTCCTCACTTATAAGCTGGGTAATGATGGTACTTACCTCACAGGATTGTTGGAAGATTAAATGAGGTCATCTAAGTTACATATTAGAACAGTGCCTGACATTTTGAAGCACACAGTAAACATTCTTTTCCTGGCAAAGATAATCTTGGCCCTTCTTCACCGGGCCTTAGAATTGCCTTTATAACCAACACATGCATACAAGAAAGCCATTCATTGTACTCTGTACAACAGAAGAAGAATTTCAGATTTAAGGAATCAAGCTAATTTATCAAGGTTGTTCTTTTTTTGTTTTGTTTTGAAAGTCTCTGTTGTTTTACAGAACCTGCTGGATGAAATAGCAAGAAGGGAACAGGAAGTTCAGAAAGTCTGCGCTCATTCCCAGCAGTACCAGCAAGCTGTCAAGGTGAGAAGCGAAGTCCCACCCAGAGTGTAAAACATCAGGGCCTCTGGGAAGAGGAGCACTGGGCCTGGCAGGGTCATCCTCAGGCCCCGCTGGCAGCCATGCAAACTGGCACAGCCCTTTGGGAAAATAATATGATATTAGGCATCAAATACCAGAGAAGGATTTTCTACTGTATGAAGCAGTAAACTGGGGGGAATTTATCCTAACTGGAAAAATACAGAATAACACCAATATAGGATAAATGAAATCACTGTAACAGCATTATATGTAATAGCAAAATAGACAAACTAGAAATAACCTAAATGTCCAATAGCAAAGGAATGGCTAGGTAAATTATCATCCATCCACTTGATGGATTATAAAGTCGTTCAACTGACGAAGCAGAGGATAGGAGGGGGCAACATGAGACAAATGGAGAAGCACAGCATCCTCTCTAGCGTGAAGGGAAGGCCTGAAGGGAGCCCTCTGGGGAGGGGAACTGTGGGCATACTTTTTCTTGTTTCACATGTTGTTGAGGGACACAGCTATGTATTGCTGATGTATTGAAGGTTCTCAAAAACTCCTGGCAGACAGTACAGAGTGCAGCTGAGCGGAAGACCTCTGCAGTCAGCTGGCAGGGCTGTAAGAATATTGCAGCCGCAACTGACCTTGTCTGCCCTCTGCCATGTCTCTCCCCCAGGACTATGAATTAGAAGCAGAGAAACTAAGGTCCCTTCTTGACTTGGAGAATGGAAGGAGCAGCCACGTGAGCAAAAGAGCCAGGCTCCAGTCCCCTGCTGCCAAAGTGAGGGAAGAGGTGAGCTCTGTGGGTAGGCGTTCTCAGAGTTGCGCAGCCTTCCAGGGAGCATGGCATGCAGGCCTCAGAGATGCAGGCACAACATGGAAACTGGGCTGAGAGCTTTCCTGGGTGCAAACAGGTTTTGTAAGAGAAGATAATGAACTTTTTCTGGGACAGCGACATTGATATACCTAGAAAGACAGCCTGCTGGAGGTATCTGGGTCAGAGCCACGGATTAGAGAGGTTCCCACTCTGCTCCCCCCGCCCAATTCATATACAGGAGGCCGTTATTATTTCCTCTATACACAAGAATATTAACGCTCAAACAGAGATCTGCTCAAGGCCACTGGGAATTAGACTTCTGACTCTAAACCCAGTTTTCTCTCCACCAGATGACTGTAGTAGAACTCTAAGTAGGAAGGGGCAAGAAGCTACCCTCTATCCCCAAATGCCAGACTTTTCAAAACCCATCCTACTCTTTCCCCCTCAGTCTATTGACTCCTATTTGCTGAATGCTCCCCTATAGGAAGCGACCCTTACTGCCAAGTTCACCGAAGTTAATGCCATCAACAGACAGAGGCTGCAGAACCTGGAGTTTGCTCTGAATCTACTGAGACAGGTAATGAATCTTAGTGTAACACATTTTACTCAAAACTGTTCCAGCAGGTGAGAAACAAGACTCGTTCAGCCTCAAAGAAACAGCCTGTAAACTAGGGGGAGTGTCCCTTGCAAACACGGCTGGGCAGCACCAGTGCAAATACTGGCCCAAGCCAGAACCCCTATTGACATGAGTGTAACATATATTTCCTCCAACAGACGTTTGCTGAGTACCTAGTAGAGGTAACATGTTAAAAGTCCAGAATGTTTATGATAGCACTGAAATAACAAGAAACTGGAAGCAACTCAATACTCATCAGCAATGGGTAATTAAATTATGGTCTGTCCACATGCCGCTGTTAAACAGTGAAGTAGAGCTCTCTGTGCTGCTGTGAAATTTCCTCTATCTAGATTAAGTGCAACAAGGGTGCACAACAGGGGACTTACCATTTGTGCAGAAAAATAAACATTTGGCACACACTAAAAATATACAGTACAGGCAGTCCTCGGGTTACGTGGGAGATCCGTTCCTACGGCGCGACGTAACACGATTTTCTCCGTAAGTCAGAACCCACCTACATAAGCACCTACGTCACTCACATGGAGCACATACACAGCAGTAATGAAGTGAAACAGTAAAAAAAATGTAAAACAAAGATAACAATTCCTGACCTTTACTTGTGGTAAATAAATAATAAACATAAGGCACATATGTACATATGTCGAAATGATGGAACTTTTTTTTTATAAATAAATGGGAGATGGTGATGTAACCACGAAACGATGTATGTCGAGTCCGACGTAACCCGAGGGCTGCCTGTACTTGTCATAAGATGACAGATACCCTTCTAGCAATAGGACAGGACCAGAGGTGGAAGACTGATTTCCTTTCACACTCTTCTATGGTTTTAAAATATTTTACCAGATGAATTTTAAGAAAACCTAAACCAGCTGTTTAAAAGTAACCCTAGAACTCCTGTGAACCTAGCACTTGGAGTCCCTTGGAGATCACAGAACCCCCAGTCTGAACTGTTTACATAACCATGCACTGTCTTCTCCCTCCCAGCAGCCAGAGGTAGGAGTGACCCATGAGAGTCAGCAAGGGAGCCAGCCGGGCTCCAGAGCAGAGGAGTCGTGGAAGATTCGGAAGGAGCTGGACGAGGAAACTGAGCGGAGGCAGCAGCTGGAGAAGGAAGTCAAGAGTGCCCAGGAGGAAATCCAGATTCTGCAGAATCAGAACCCCCAGGAAGCAGTGGTGAGGAAGGAGGTGCTGAAGAAGGTTCCGGACCCTGCACTTGAGGAGAGCTTCCAGCAGATGCAGCGGACGCTGACGGAGGAGCAGCACAAGAACCAGCTGCTTCAGGAGGAGTTGGAGGCGCTGCAGCTGCGGCTACGCGCCCTGGAGCAGGAGACCAGGAACGGCGGGCAGGAGTACATAGTCAAGGAGGTCCTGCGCATCGAGCCAGACAGAGCCCAGGCCGACGAGGTCCTGAGGCTGAGGGAGGAGCTGGAGGAGCTAAGGCGGCAGAAGGGCACCCGGGAAGCAGAGGCGGTCCTCCTGCAGCAGCGCATCGCGGCCCTGGCTGAGGAGAAGAGCCGGGCGAGGGAGAAGGTCACTGAGAAGGAGGTGGTGAAACTGCAGAATGACCCCCAGCTGGAGGCAGAGTACCGGCAGCTGCAGGAGGACCAGCAGCAGGAGGGCAAGCACAGGGAGAAGCAGGAGGAGGAGCTGAGCTTTCTGCAGGACAAGCTAAAGAGACTGGAGAAGGAGAGGGCCATGGCTGAGGGGAAGGTCACCGTCAAGGAGGTGCTCAAGGTGGAAAAGGACATGGCAGTTGAGAGGGAGGTTGGCGACCTGAAACGCCAGTATGAGGACGAGTCTGCCAAAGCTCGTGCCCACCAGAGGGAGAAGAGCGAGCTGCTCCGAAAGATTTGGGCCTTGGAAGAGGAAAATGCCAAGGTGGTGGTGCAGGAGAAAGTGCGGGAGATCGTCCGGCCAGACCCCAAGGCAGAGAGCGAAGTGGCCAACCTCCGCCTGGAGCTTGTGGAGCAGGAGCGCAAGTACCGGGGTGCCGAGGAACAGCTGAAGAGCTACCAGGGTGAGCTGGAGGCACTGCGGAGGCGGGGCCCGCAGGTGGAAGTCAGAGAGGTGACGAAGGAAGTCATTAAGTACAAGACTGACCCTGAGATGGAGAAAGAGCTCCAGAGGCTCCGGGAGGAGATCGTGGACAAGACCAGACTCATCGAAAGGTGTGATTTAGAGATCTACCAGCTGAAGCAAGAGATCCAGGCTCTGAAAGACACTAAACCCCAGGTACAGACCAAGGAGGTAGTCCAGGAGATCCTTCAGTTTCAGGAAGACCCCCAAACCAAAGAGGAAGTAGAGTCTTTGAGGGCCAGACTATCAGAGGAACAGAAAAAGCAAGTGGACCTGGAAAGGGAGAGGGCTTCCCAAGAGGAGAAAATCAAACAGAAGGAGGAGGAGCTTTCCCAGGTGAAGGAAAAGGTGGTCCAACAGGAGGTAGTCAGGTACGAGGAGGAGCCGGGCTTGCGAGCTGAGGTGGATGCCTTCACCCAGAGCATTGATGTGGAGCTCCGGCAGATCGACCACCTGCGCGGGGAGCTGCGGCGGCTACAGCGCAGGCGGGCCGAGCTGGAGCGGCAGCTGGAGGAGCTGGAGCGTGAACGGCAGGCGCGCAGGGAGGCCGAGCTGGAGGTGCAGCGCCTGAAGCAACGGCTGGCCGAACTGGAAAAGGAGGAGGGGGAAGCCCAAGAGAAGGTGACCCACAAGCAGAAAGTGGTGCTACAGCAGGACCCCCAGCAGGCCCGGGAGCACTCCCTGCTCAAGCTCCAGCTGGAGGAGGAAAGGCACCGGCGGCAGGTCCTGGAGAGTGAACTGGAGACCCTAAAGAAGAAGCTCATCAACCTGGAGAAGATGGAGGTCAAGGAAAAAGTGGTCTTCTCCGAAAGTGTCCAGGTGGAGAAAGGTGACACTGAACAGGAAATTCAGAAGCTCAAGAGCAGCCTGGAGGAGGAGAGCCGGAACAAGAGGGAACTGGATGCTGAGGTGGGCCGGCTGGAAGCCAAGCTGTCAGAACTGGAGTTCCACAACTCCAAGTCGTCCAAGGAGCTGGACTTTCTCAGGGAAGAAAACCACAAACTACAGCTGGAGCGGCAAAACCTGGAGCTGGAGACCCGGAGGCTCCAAACGGAAATTGAAATGGCGGCAACGGAAACACGGGACCTGAGAAACATGACCACAGTGGACTCTGGGACAAACCTCGACTCCAGACTATGGTCCCTGGAGAGAGAGCTAGATGACCTCAAAAGGCTCTCCAAAGACAAAGATCTTGAGATCGATGAGCTGCAGAAGCGCCTGGGCTCTGTGGCCGTCAAGAGGGAGCAGAGAGAAAACCATCTGCGGCGCTCCATTGTGGTCATCGACCCTGACACAGGCCGGGAGCTGTCCCCGGAGGAAGCCCATCGGGCTGGCCTCATCGACTGGAACATGTTTGTGAAACTCAGAAGTCAGGAGTGCGACTGGGAGGAAATATCAGTCAAGGGTCCCAACGGGGAGTCCTCCGTGATCCACGACAGGAAGTCTGGCAAGAAGTTCTCCATTGAAGAGGCCCTACAGAACGGGAGGCTGACCGCTGCTCAGTACGACCGCTATGTCAACAAGGATATGTCCATCCAGGAGCTGGCCGTCCTGGTGTCTGGGCAGAAGTAGGCACAGCCCTGCCCCTCAGTCCCCTGGAAGCTGACGCTGGCTCTCCTACCCCATACCTTCTTCTCCCTGGCCCTGTGCAGGCTCCTAGTCCGTGCGGAGCTGAGCATGCCACCCATGCCTTCTCGGCCAAGCTACTCAGAGTATAGCTCACGTACAAGCAGAATGGTCACTGGCTGCACCATCATTTAACCCAGGTGAGAGACCTGCTTCATCCTCCAATGATTCAAAATCACAAAGCCCTTTTCTCTCCCTTGTCCTACACACGTCCATCAACAGACTCCTTGTGGGAAACCTGGAAGCAATCCGAACACTACTAAAGCACAAGACCACTGAGGCAGACCAGCCCCTCCATGCAGCAATGGCCTTCGCACACCAGATGGGGAAACTCTAGGGCAGAAAGGCCTCCCTTATACACACCCTTCCATTCATCAAAGGACTGGGCCCCTTGGGGCTGCCGACCTGCACTCACACCCCTCCAGTAGTCTGGCTGAGCGCCAACTTTCCGTCAGACTTCTAATGGTGAGACAGATCTGGGATCTGTGCCAGAAAAAGGTGCAAAGAAACCAGCACAGGCCCCTCTGTCAGCCTGACTGTCCCAGGAGAACACTCCATTCGAGACTTTTCTGGTTCTGAAATTAAAGTGTTTTTGTTGTGGACTGTGTTGCTGTTAGCCTTAGCTTCAGGGCCTTACAAGTCTTGTTTATTCTCTAATTGGTATTTAGGTATACTACACAGTTGATTTTTCACCAAATTAATTTCAGGTTCTCTGTATCTCCTATATTACATAAGAAAACGGAAAGAAATAGGGAACTCCACCTTATAGCGCAAAAAATAAACACCTGGTGGCTTGACTCTAATTTTATGCTAAGTGTGTTTTTTCCTCCTTTGTGTGTGTGATTTATTTCCCCTACTCCCTCTTGGTTTTCAGCCAGGATATCCCATATGGATATCCGTTTACCAGTCCCAATCACTTACCAGTTCCTATGGGAGAAAGAATTATTAGCAAATATGGCAAAAAGAATCAGAAACAATGTATTGGAAACCTTGAAACAATTTATTAAGTTGCTTTATACAAGATTAACAATTTCCACACCACCCCCTAATACCAACCTAGTGGCTGCACCAAAGCCACAGCCCCTTTCACACTTAAGAAACGGCCGCACCAAGGAAAGCCCTGCAGCACCGCAGCCCCCAGGCCCGGAGCCCGCTCTGCCTGTAGATCTGCCTTGCCATGGCTGTTTAAGTCATTCACTCTTTCGTTACCACAAATAAAGCATAAACAAGAAAAAGAAATCTCCCCATCAAAGAAACGTTTCCCTGAGGCAAGAGGCATCACTAGATTCCTACAAATGAGGGTATTCTGCTCCAGCTGCACACTCAATGGTATGTGGGGAAGAGGGGGCACTGCAGGGGAACCGGATGTCTTGGGCAGAAAAGGAGCTCATGGGCAGTCTCTGCACGGCTCTGAGCTCAGCAATACAAATCTCTTCTTTGGCTCTTTTGCTACTTCCTAAGACTATTCTGTAAACAAACTGGAAATCCAAGTTGCAAAATATATATATAATAAAGGGATAAGAAATCCATGTAGGCCCATGTGAAACGTGTTGGTTCCTATGTAAAAAGTCAGAGCAGAGGCCTTGCTCCTCGGACACTAGACAAACCTCAGCATAAAGCATGAGTTACTGAGCACTGGACCCTGGGTGCCAGGAACCAAAAGAGCTGCCTGTGTCTCCACATAGGTCTACATTCTGAGGAGGCTATATACTCTCTAAATATTTGAAATCACTTAGCTGGAGCAGTCAGTTGAGACATGCCTGTGGCAGAGACTTCACAGGACAGGCAAGTGCCCTAAAACTCCTCGTGAAGCAGCCAATGGTTAAATGGGAACAGCGTAATGACTTGGGAGCTCCGGGTTGTCTTAAGTCTGTCTCTAATGCACTCTCCAAGCTCAGTGGTGCGTCACCCTTAAGTCAGGCATAGCCCCGCTGCCTGGAGAGCCCTAGGACTTCAAGGCCTGTCTATACAGCAGACACTTCACAAAGGCCCACACCTGCAGCTCCGCCTGAGAATGATTTCTAAATAAGCTGGAATGTCTATCTGTAACTTGGAACCTTTCATATCCTTGCCCTCAAAGGCCTTTGGGGCTCTGCAGTCCACCTGTATGAACTTTGGAAAAACAAAACAGAGGCCCTGGCTGAACTGGGACCTGGGATTTGAGGACCCAGATGACCTTTAAGTCAGGACGGCAGAGATTATGATGTGCAATGATAAAAAGCCTCAAATAAACTGGCTACGTCTTAAGTACAGACATCTTTTTAAAAGGTCTTCATCTGAGAGCCACACAGAGGGCCTAATTGATGTGTGTCTAATTCTGCTCCACCATAAAGGCACTGGGATTATGTCTTCCATATGACGTGTGAAAATATGACATGTGAAGAACTGTCCCACTCTATCCAATGCATTGATGGTAATGATGAAAACTGAGCCAAAAATAAGTGTCTTTAAAAATCCTATCACAATTGTTGAATCTACAAAGATCTTTCTTTAAAAGAGCTTCATTGTCATGTTTAGAGGATAAACTGGCCCCCATGATGAGCACACACTAGCTGTTCTGAGTATTTTTCAACAAGACAAGGTAAGTCTCCCAGCTATGGCATTAGCCTGGGTTTCTGTCCATTGAGCACACAGCCCGAGGATGGGATAGACACCATGACCATCCAGGGACCCTAGTGTGGCCAAAAGGAGCCCCTGCCAGTGGGGTGCCATGAGTTACTCTGACCAAATGCCAGGGGGTTGGGCAGACTTACAACCCAGGTGTGCCAACGTTCAGTCCTGCCACCAGAGCTCCGTACATGACCCAGTACACTTCCCAGCCTAGAGCTGCCCCTCCAACGATTGTCCGCGACAAAGCCACGAGGCCCGGATCACCAGGCCAGTCAGTACCTCTGGAGAAGCACGAGGCTGCTCCCAAGTGAAGGCACGTCACAAGTGCCAAGAGACGTTCCACTTAGCACTCACAGCCTTCTCCAGAAGAAAACCGATCGGCAGAAAGAGCGTATTGATTATCCGATTTTTCAGAGACCTATTAGTTCAGCTTCCAGCATTTCCTCTGAAGAGGTCACAATTTCCGTGGAACACCAGCCCCTTTCCCATGAAGCTGAGAAGCATCTGGAAAAGAATAAGGAAAAACAATATAAATCTTTCAGGATCTCTGATTTTCTTAAGGCAGCAGTAACCAAACCTCAAGGAGGTCACTTCTGTATGTTGAGTATGCTGAGGTTCAAACGAGCCACAAACACTTGACAGAGGTGATTTCAGTGTGTTGTTACTTATAGCAGCCTGCAGCGTGAAGGCAGCTGCTCATGGAGTGCTGTGTTCACAGCAACTCTACTATGCAATGTGGGACACTTCTGTTCTTGGCTACAACTATGCAGTGGCACATGGGTTCCATGATGGGGTTTGATAGTCACACTGAAGTCAAGGAGCAATCAACATTCTCACCATCAACAGATCCTCAGGTTCTATAAAGACAAGTTCAAAGGCACTAGCATTCTGAGTCCACATAGGAAAAAAAGCAAATCAGAATTAAGTTACACAATTAAAATGTCCAGACAGCTTCTCATTTACAACCACTCAATGGAATCCTATAGCCTGAAGAAGGTCTAAAGGAGAGAAGAAAAGCCTACTCAGCCTGTTTTAGCATAGATGCTTTTCTGATAGCCTTTTAATACCCAGAGGAAAAACAGGGAAGAAATGGTACAAGAAAGCACTTTTCCCTTTTTTTGCTGAAAATACCACAGACCAACAGTCACATTTCCAAAGGCTCTTCATTATTGTCTCTGTTTAAAAGGGTGACATTCCTAAAAGCAGCAGAAGCAGTGCAATCTCTCTCTGAAAAACCACAAGCTCTCACCCAGGTAGCTCTGCAACCCCTATATTATCATCTCAGCTACAGCAGCAGCCACCAGTTTGTGGAGCAAGTCCACACTACATTTTACTGCTTCTCCAGGGGAAAACGGAGTAGCTGCTGATACAAGCTTAGCCCTAGGTTTTTATTTGAGAAGCAACAATTCCATCTTGGAGATTTACAATCCATTCCTGTACCCAGATGGCTGCTGGCATTCACTACAAATGCATCAGTTTAAGGACACAGGGGCCAGGGACCCACTGCAAAATCTGGGACAGACTTGGGCCATGTCGAGGCCAGTGCTCTCAGTATAGCAGGTGTCAGGCATGCCCAGCTGGATGAATCCCATCTTACTGCCACCGGGTATCAGTCTGCCAGGGCGGATCCAGGCTGAGCTTCCTGAAGCATGGCTCTCCCTGACCAATGAGGCCCCTGGTCGTTTCCAGAGAGTAGTAAGGGTAGTAGGCCAAAACCAAGATCCCTGAGGTTCTACAACAGCATTCCATTAGCTGCATCTAAGAATCAGGTCCTAGCACAGGGTAAGGCCAATTGCTGATGACAAAGGTGCCAGCTTCTCACAGCTATAAACCTAGAGCTTGTACAGTGCCCCTTTCTGAAAGTCACTGCTCTCTGGAGAAGAAAATTGGGAGAAGGAAAGAGGGAACGCTGTCCCAATTCCTGTTGTGCTCCCAACTCTCTGCCTTTACATCTGAACTGAATTGACAGCTGCTCCTCTCTTGAATACATGCTGACATCAAAGGTAAAGATCCCTCCTGAAGCCTTGCCACTGTGACCTCTTGCTATTACTTGAACTTCCCCTTTCACTTAAACTAAATTTACAGAGCCTTCTGTTACCTGGTACTACCTGGAAGGTGTAGCACCTTGAATTTAAAGGCCTGTAGTGCCCCAACTAGCCAAGGGTTGGGGATTCCTCTGCCTCGAATACAGGTCACCCTGACTTCCTCTGTGATCACATGGGGTAACGCTGACCCAGTGGCAGAGGACCAGGGGAAATCACAAAGTGGAGGAAACCTGTCCCATTCCAAGTACCCACAGAACGAGAGCCTCAAAAGACAAATCAAGACAGCACAGTGATAATACGGTGAAGATACTGAAATCTTTGGCAGCAGACAGCATCTACTGAGTGGAGAGGGGAATGACACACAGTGCACATGGCACTCTGACCACCTGGCAATTAATTACCTGGGAGACTCTGCGGGACGTGGGTAGACACGGCAGCGTGTGGGAGAGGTGCTGCGTGGGGCGGGCTGGAGTGCAAGCCAGCCAGGAGACCTGAGAGAAAACAGGAGGGAAGAAAAGAACAAGACACGCACATTGAAGACAAGAACAGAAAAGCATCCTTGGTGATTCAGAGCCCCAGACAACCTACTGGCCAGTCCTGGTGAAAGACCCTGGGGAAGGGTTCAGCACGATCCCTGAAAATGTTGCCCACAGCCATACATCAGACACACACGAGAATCCCGTACACGACAACACGACTCACTGATCACAGTAGTAGTCCCGGGGCACCTTTTGTGCCTCCAAATGAGGAGAGGAAAGGGAGAAGTACTTACTGTGGCTGAGGCCATGGTGAAACGTCCCAGGGGCAGGGCCCGTGACGATGGCATCCTTGGAGACCCCTGCTTTGGCAGAGGAGTCGGCGCTAAAGGAGAGCACACGGAGAGGAAACGGAGAGATGATCCCCAGGGAGTTTGAGTTCACAGCCCCGGGCAGCTTTGGGCCGCCTGTCTTGTAGGATGAGGATAGCAGATTTAAGGGCGATGAGCTGGTCAATAGCACAGCCCCACTCGTTCCTTTCTGGAGATGAAACACACAAAAGGATCAGAGCTCCAGCCTGTCCATGGCCTGCTCACAAACCAAACCTGTCAACACACAGGGTAGGGACATCGACTGCTCCTTATGCCGGAACCCTAGTCTGCAGCCCCAAAG